GTTATGTGCCATAGAGTCGCTATCCACTCATAGTGACCCTGCATAGGGTTTCTGAGGCTGTAAATCTTTATGGGAGCAGAAAGCCTCATCTTTCTCCCTCAGAAAAGCTGGTAGTTTCAAACTGCTGACCTTGCGGCTTGGAGCCCGACTCGTAACTACTACGTTACCAGACCTCCTTGTCTTCCTTATAGGCATATGGATATTATCCTATCACAGACATGGTTGTACTTCAAGTCAGATCTTGATATGTTCTTTTTGATGATGAATGCCATGCCACTTCTCCTCAATTTGTCATTCCCAGCATAGTAAACCGTGTGATTGTCATATTCAAAATGGACAATGCCAGTCCATTTCAGTCCATTAATACTTAGGATATTGATATTTACATGTTCCATTTCATTTTTGACTATTTCTAATTTTCTTAGATTCATACTTTATATATTCCATGTTTTAATTATGAATGGATGTTTATAGCTGTTCCTCCTCATTTTGCATTGTGTCCCATCAGCAAATGAAGGTCCTGAAGGCTTTATTCCATTTGGGTCATCCCTGTCAACTTTGAGGAGTCAACTGTTCCCCAATCGTATTTTGAATGCCTTATAACCTGAGGGACTCATCTTCTGGCACTATATCTGATAGTATTCTGGTGTTCTTCATCATGTTTCAATATTCAATAACAGTGTTCCACTGTTATTCATAAGGTTTTCATTGAGTAAATATTCGGAAGTAGTCTGTCTCTCCTTCTTTTAATTTATCATAAATATTTCCATTCTTGAATTTTATAATTTTGCATGACTCTTACATCTCTTTATTCTAGATACAATATGTACTCTTAGAGAAAGCTTTCTGAGCAAAATAAACATCCACATGCTGTTGATAACAATTTTTCTAAATGTTGTCCTTCTGATTTTGAATGATTGATCACTCCATGCTAAGCATATCTTACTAGTGTTATTGTCCCCACTATATACCTAGCTACTGTTTAGCTGAATACTGGGTTATGAGGATGAGTTCCTTTCCAGACAGGAAGAGTGGTAGAGGATCATAGTCTCAAGTTCTTCCAGTGTCTTTCTGACCAGCAAGCCTCATCTTTTTTTTCCCCCCAATAATTTGAGTTTTGTTTCACATTTTCTCCTACTGTCTCTGGAATCTTCTAATGTGATCTCTTTCAGAGCAATGGATAATGGTAGCTGGGTACCATCAAGTTGTTCTGGTCCCAGAGCCATGTAGTCAATTCCAAGCATCTTCAATTCTCATCCCCCTTCTTTTTTCTGCACATGGAGAGATCAATAGTTACACCTCAGATGGCTGCTCAGGAGCTTTAAGATACCAGAAGGTACTTACCAAAGTAGGTTATAGAACACTGTCTTTGTGGATTATTAAAACCACTTTAATATGGCAGTTTTTACTGGTCCTTTCTTCACCAACAGAACTTTCTTATATTGTTTTAAACTTCTTCCTAATAAGCCTCTATGATTGTCCTTTGTCCTTCTAGAAAATCTATCAATATTAACCCTTTGGAAGCCAAAAAAGCAGTCACCATAACCTTCTGCGCTTACCTCTGAGCTGAATTTAACTGACCCAGCAGATCCTCTTGGACATCACTATTGGATTGAATTTTATTTATGAAGGTACACTAATGAGACTAAGGTAAATGTGCTGACAGAATATGTCTTCAGCCATTCACTGATAGCAGAGACATGTTTAAACACATTTTTGTTTGGAATAAACCTGTGCATGTTGAACTAAAACCCTAGCAGCAATATATTTGACTTGCCCACATAAGTTCACACATAAATAATACCTTATAACCAGTGCTCCAAATCATTGTAAATTAGTTGATTATAAATTTTTATCACTACATGTTGATTTCTTATGAGGCTGTTCAGTAAGTGTTTACCCTGAAGACACCTAGGTGGGATTCTCAGTCAGTGCACTGCATACATTGCCATTACTCATCAATTAGTGTTGCCATGATTTATAAGAGTTTTCAGTGTAGATTCCAGATGAAGACAAAGTGAGAAAAAAAGTCCTGGCAATCAAATTTTGAAACAAAGACAATGAAAACACTACGCATCTCATGGCTAATCTGTAACTGAAGGTGGAGATGGGCCAGGACCTGGCAGTGTTTCATTTAATTATGAATACAGTTATCATGAGTTGGGAGCTGATTTAATGAGAGTTAACAACAATAACCCCCAAGAAATAGATCACTATTCAGGGTTGGACCAAGTCAAGTTTTAAAACATGTTATTTTGAAAGCTTAAAGTCAAACCTGACAGTGCAGAATTTGTTGAAGAAAATTTGACCTTCTTTAGCCTTTTGACAATTAGTCAATTATCTTTCTCTGGCAACATTTTGACCTCCCTGTCCAATGGTTATTAAACTTCAATAGTAGACAGAATATCTTCCCAATTAGTCTGAAATGTCACTACTACCTAATCATTCCCTAGTGTTTACACTGTCATTTTCCTGAAGTCCTAATTTATACTCTAGGTACGGGTGATTTACTAAATACTAATTCCTTATTGTTCCAAGATTGCTTTCATTCTTGAATAGAAAAATGATCCAGTTTCAACAGAAGGAGGAATTAATAAAAGTGAAGGAGACCTGAGAAGAATTGATTTAAATTTTTTCCCAGAGTTGGCTTTAATTATGTGGATATATCCCACATTACTTTTTAACACATTATACCACTGGATAGTTTGGAGAATTATGGAAATGTTAGTGCTATATTCCTCTCACTGATAATTTGCCTAAGTGTTCTCAAATAGGTTGACTAGTGTGACTACATTTAATTGTGTGGCTACACATTGCACAACTCTAGGGGCACCCATTTTTACATGAACTATGATATGTAATCATACACAGTGCAGCAACCATATTGTAATGGTTAGAGTTCTGTGACTAGACCAGGATTTCCAAATGTTTAGCAGTTGGGATGTGCTTATTCCCATGGTGATGAAACCTAATACAGGCATAGTTAACTCTGTGATGAGTGATTTTTAGCAGCCAGTCAATTGAAGGGATGCTTCCTTGGGAGTGTGGCCTGCTCCCAATATAATGGACACATAGGAGGGACTTTCTTTCTCTTCCACTAGGGACTTGGGACTCTACAATTATAAGCCATTTCCTTGATAATAAAGTTACCTTCATATATATTTGCTTCTTTAGAAAACCCTATCTAAGACACATATATAGGGTTGCCAGATAGAGCAAATAAAAACAGAGAACACTCATACAATATTTCAGACATACATATATCAAATAATTAGCTGTTTATATAAAATTCAAATTTAACTGAATGATGTGTATTTTATCTAGCAACCCTACCCATATGGAGTATTTGGAAAACCTGTGGGTATTCTTTTAGTTATCTAAATGAATGAAGGGTACATTGTCAATTAACAGGGAGGGCCATGTATTCTAAATATCCTTCAATGGCCAGCAGATTATCATATTAGAAGGATGCTTATGTTCTTTTCAGTTTTCTCAGTTAAAAACTTTTGAATTTAATTATTTCACTCTAGAAATGAGAAAACTGAATGACAGGCTAAAGGACTGATTAAAATTGGTACAAACAACAGACAATAAGCCCACAGTTGCTGACATGAATAATTGACTATTGAAGAGATTAGTGTGCATGGGGTCAGGCAGGAGACATGAGTAGAGTTTTCTATGGGTACTACAGCATGCTATTTTTCTGCATAAGCATAAAACTAGTGTGACCTATTGATAATACTTTTAGCAGAAAACAACAGGATCAGTTTTACTTTTACAAAGATAAGTGCATTATTATGAAGAAAGAGAAGATAACAGAGAATATCTGCAAAATGCAATATATTGTATTCTCTGAACACTCCATTCTGCTGCTTCTTTAATTATCTGCAATGGTGGTTGTATTCTCTCCCATTCCCCTTAAACCGTGGTCCTAGAAGCAGGGTAACAGTCCTTTTTGCATCTCATTGCCTTTTTAACCTCCACTCTTTCTCGCTTTATAGATATAACATTCTTTGAATATTATTACATGTACTGACTATCCCCTTATCTACTTCTTATTGTTGTTGCATTTGTCTACTCATCTTTGGTTGACTGGCCTCCATTTATTAGCGATTTATATTGTCTCTTTTCCCAACAGGACTCCTGTTATAATTCACTTTCATTTTAATATTTACACAAAATATTTTCCCTATCAAGACTCCATTCTTGAACTCTTCTACCATGACCTTGTCCTGCACCTTACCCAGTTACTCATTCCATTTCTTTCTTTGTTAAGTGAATAGTTTACATTATATGGATTTCCATTCTTCCAGTATATAATTATCAACTTTCTCCTTTCTGTTCATGTCCTTTAGCTAAATAAAGAATTTGTTGACTCTAACACCTTTTTGTTGGTCCTCAAACCTTTCAGAAGTCCTAGTGTGGCACTGAACCTATAAGGCTGGTTGTATCATTTTCATATCGTAGTTATTAAGGAGTCTTCCTCCAATCCTGAAGCCATGCTTTTCTTCATACAATCCAGCTACTCAGATTATTTGTTCCGCATACAGATTGAATAAATGTGGCGAATGAATAACCCCTGGCTTACACCTTTCCTAATTTTAAAGCATTAGGTGTTCCCTTGCTCTGATTGAACCTCTTGGTCTAT